TCCCTCCCTCCCTCCCTCCCTCCCTCCCTTCCTTTTAGATAGCATCTCACTATGTAGCCCTGGCTTGCCTGGAGCTTACTATGATGCCAAGTTGGTCTTCACTTCTAAGTAATCCTCTTGCTTTTACCACCCAAGGATGGCAATTACAGGTATGTGTCACCCTGCCTGGCTCTTACTTCAGTTTTCACTGTTGCTATTACATTATCGATTACGTAATAGCTGAAAAAGGATAGGAAAAAATAGTTGATAGTCAGCTTATGACAATAAAGCTTCTGAGTGCTCATGTGCTCTGTCTTCAGACTGTCATTACTGGAAGTCCACCAAAAAGAAAAAATTATCTATTTTGGCAATAAAATAGAAACCAGAATTTTGCTCTCAGGGATGTTTTACTGTTTTCTTAGCGCCTCTCTCCTAACCCTCATGCTTAAGCCGGTATTAAAGTGCACTTTTGATTTGTTTTGTTTTTGTTTTTTGGGGACAGCGTTTCCCTGTAGCCCCAGCTAAGGTTTAGAACTTGCTACTGTAGATCAGGCTGGCCTCGATCTCACAGAGATCCTCCTGTGTTGGGATTAAGGGCATGCATTACAGTACCATGGCTGGCCTAAAATATCTTTTGTTAAACCTCAACTCTGCTGAGAAAGACAGAGACAGAGACAGAGACAGAGAGAGAGAGAGAGAGAGAGAGAGAGAGAGAGAGGGGGAGGGAGGGAGGGAAATGGTGAGAATGGTGCCCTTTGGGGACTTGTTTTTTTAAATTTATTACAGGGCATGGTGGCGCACGCCTTTGATCCCAGCACTTGGGAGGCAGAGGCAGGACTTAACTATGTAGCTGAGGCTGGCCTTGAACTCTTGATCATCCTGATTCCACCTCCCTAATGCTAGGAATATGAGCATGTGCCAGCATTATGCCTGGTTCATGTGGTGCTAGGAATTGAACCCAGGACTTCAAGGAATAGGCAAGGGCCTACACAAGGATTCCAACTGAGGTACAACCCCCTCCATTTATTTTTATTTTTTGAGCTGAGGACCGAACCCAGGGCCTTGTGCTTGCTAGGCAAGTGCTCTACCACTGAGCCAAATCCCCAACCCCTTATTTTTTATTTTCTGTGTTTGCACGTATTGCCTACATGTAGGTAAGTGCACCTGTGTGATGCAATGCCCCCGGAGGTCAGAAGAGGCTGTAGGATCCCTGGGACTGGAGTTACAGATACTTGTTAGCTGCCATGTGGGTGCTGGGGTTTGAACCCGGGTCTTCTGCAAGAACAACCAGTGTTCTTCACTGCTGAGCCATCTCTCTAGTCCCTGGGGACACTGTTTTTAAACAATCTTTCTGGACCTGCTCCCTTGAGCACTTTGACATTACAGGAGAGACAAGCAGCCAGCTAGAGATTGGGCGACTGAACAAATGTAGCTACATGACAAATTCTGGGAAGACACTCTTAATTCCCTTCTCCATGTCTTGGCGCACACAAGTAGTCTCTGAACTAGAAGAGAACAGATGGTAAGGAGATGTCGATGCAAGGGACTAAAAAGACGTTACCAGTTCAGTTTTTGGCCTACTTAGCTGCAATACGACAGGCCCATTATTGAGCCACTTGCTTCTCCCTTGCCACTCCACGTCCCTCTGCTATGAGGATCAAATAAAAGAAATGCAATAAAGCTGGGTGTGGTGGTGCACACCTACAATTCCAGTATTTGGGGGGCAGAGGCTGGGGGATTAAAATTTTGAGGCCAACCTGGGTTATATAGTGAGACTTTTAAAAAATATTTCATTATTATTATTATTATTATTATTATTATTATTATTTTAGTGGCCGGCGGGTTCCCAGGCCAGCCTTATTTATTATTTTTATTTAATGTGTATGAGTGTATTGCCTGCATGTATGTGAGTGCACCTGTGTAGTGCAATGCTGCAGAGGTCAGAAGAGGGCTTCAGATTCCCCTGGAACTGGAGTTAAAGACGGTTCGTAGCCACCATGTGGGTGCTGGGAATCGAACCCAGGTCCTCTGCAAGAACAGTCAGTGCTCTTAACCCCTGAGCCATCTTTCCAGCCCCTGTAGTGAGACTTTTAAAAAAATAAATAAATAGGGGCTGGAGACATGGCTCAGTGGTTAAGAGCGTTTGCTGCTCTATGGTGAGGACTGGAATTCAGATCCCAGCACCCACAATGGGCAGCTCACAAACGCTTGTAACCCTGTTTGTCTTCTGGCCTCCATGGGCACTGACACACAGTATGTATACACACACATACAGATATAGACGCACATCAATACAAATAAATCAATAAAATATGATACATGCAATAACCTAAGAGGGCTGAGGATCAGGTGTGCCAAGTTGTGGATTCTTACAGGTATGCCTGCTTGCTCTGCACGAAGGAAGGCAGCAGGCTGAAGGGCAACACATGGTAAGCAGTGGGACCTGGATGTAGCTGTGGCATAGACATGAGGCCAATTCCCACCTGAACTTTGTGAAACATCTGTAGATTAATTGCTTTGACTTCCTCCAGCTGTTGGCGGAGAGCGACCAGTGTGTCCTGCTTCTCGTGTGTGTCCTTCTCCAGAAGCTTCATGGCGATTTCCATCTCGGTTTTCATCCCAATCTGTAACTCCAGTTCTTTTTCTAGTTCCTTTAAAAGATATTTACAAGGAGAATGCTATTAAAGCAGATCATCAGACTGTATCTAATTGTATCATAGGACTGGTCACTGTACTGTGGTATCCTGGGCAATGACTAAGGACAAAATACAGGACAGGACAAGCTTGGGAGATGGAGAAAGGTCTGACTGGAGGTTAACCAGATTCAAGTCTTCCCTCCTTCCCCTCTCTTCTCTCTTTCCCTTCCCCCTGGTTTTTAAAAAAAATTTTTTTATTTATTACTTTTATTTTATGTGTATGCATGTATTGCCTGCATGTAGGTAAGTGCACCCATGTCGTACAATGCCCGTGGAGGACAGAAGAGGCTGTTGGATCCCCTGGAACTGTAGTTACGGAACGGACAGTTGTTGGCTGCCATGCGGGTGCTGGGATTCGAACCCGGGTCTTCTGCAAAAACAGCCAGTGTTCTTAATCGCTAAGCCATCTCTCCAGCCCCTCCCCCTGGTTTTTGAGAGAGAGAATCACCATGTAGTAGCCCAGACTGGCTTCAAACTTAGATCTTCCTGCCTCAGCTCTGCAGTTGCCACCAAGTACAGGTGTGAACCAACATACCTGGCGGTTTGTCCCCCTTACATGGTACAATGAAAGATGATGGTGTATCCTGTCAACAGAAAGCTGACTTGGCAATGAGTCCAAAGTTCTAATGGCCAGGGTCCCCAAACCTAAACAGCAGAACCCATGGTCTGAAAGAACATGTGGCTTGTGTCTGCATGCCAATAGAGTTGATGGAGCAACAGTAGTTTCTGGAACGCTTTGCTACTTTATCACGGCATAGGTACAACCATCTGAAATGGCTCTTTCCATCCTGGGTGACTCAGGACATGGTGCCTCACATTCATTCAAGGAAGCCAAGACAAGAAAGTACCCGTAAGGACTGGGTTTGCGAAAGACCTGTACTACCAACGTACAGAGTGGAAATAAATAGGCCAGAGACTATGACTGAGGGACAGTACTGTCAAAGGAACCAGAGTCTGATCTCATAGCAGCCTCTAGAAAAGACTGATGGAAGGGAATAGATACAAATAACATTGCAGAAATGCACTGTAAACACTGGGGAGAATGGACAACTTTGGGTTTTCCCTGAGTGCCAGCACTCATGCAGAGGGCAGATAGGTTGCCTGGAGGGCTGTGAGGACTCTTCCTGAGGACTCAGTCTACTCACCAGTCGGACTTTCTTCTCCTCCTTGAGCTGCTTCCACACATCGCTGTACATTTCATCCAGACCTTGCCGGGTCTGCTTGTAAGTGTCCAGTTCAACTTTGGTGTCCTGCTTTGTTATCTGTATAGAGAGCGCCAAGGACAATTGACTTATGGAAAGCCAACTCGTTACAATGCATTAAGAAATATGCTCCAGTTTTTTAGCCAGGCGTGGTGGCACATGCCTTTAGTCCCAGCATTTGGGAGGCAGAGGCAGGTGGATCTCTGTGAGTTCGAGGCCAGCCTGGTCTACATAGTGAGTTCCAGGCCAGCTGGGGCTATAGAGAGATCCTGTCTCAAAAAAGGCAAAAAACAAAACAAAACAAAACAAAGAAGTATGCTCCAATTTTCTGAAAGAGTAATTTTCTACTTTTTTTTTTTTTCAGTCTTTTTGAGACAGGGTCTCCCTATAGCCCCAGCTGTCCTGGAGCTCACTATGTAGACCAGGCTGGCCTCGAATGCACAAAGATCCGCCTGCCTCTGCCTCCTAAGTGCTGGGATTAAAGGCGTGCGCCACCATGCCCAGCCAATTTTCTGCCTTTTTAAACATGATAGACTAAGGCTGAGTTCTTAGATATAACAACTTGAAAGATGAAAGATGCCAGAAAGCCAAAAGATTTGTAGCTCAGGCTGAACTTGAGATCCTTCTGCTTCTGCTTCCTGAGTACTGGGACTGAGCAACAAATTTTTGTAACAACACTTAGGTTCTGTAATGATTTATATTAAATTTTCTTTAAAACAGGACAAGAATACGTGGTGGGAAAGGCCCTCATTCAATCCATTATTCAGTATTTACTGATGCTGCTATTTAGCATTGGTAAACTTCTGGTAACTTAGATATGGTCTCTATCCTTTAACCACTGGGTGAGACAGAGCTGCAGCCTAGCACCTTACAGACCAACACTGGCCTCTGTGGTGAATGAAGTACAAGGAACTATGGGCGCACAGAAGAGGGAGGCCTGAGCCAACTGTGGGCAGCAAGGCTAGCACGACAGATGACTCAGCATGAGCCAAGGCTGAAGAGCCAAGAGGAAGCTGGGGTGCAAAGGCTGGCATTGCAGGAGCCTTACGTGGCCCAGGCGGGGGGACAGCAGCAAGAGGTACTTTTGATTTCAAACAAGGGACCTTTTACAGTCTAGAGACTGGGTCAGTATTAAAGAACCTTGGCCTTGGTATTTGCAGGCTCTGCATCAATGCATTCACCAGCCACAGGCTGGAAGTGTTTGAAAACAACAGATGTTCTGCACTAAACATACGTGTCTCCTCCTTAAACAAGCCAGCATTGCTGCATTTCCATGGGGTCACAGTGTCCTGTGTATCAGGCACACATGATGCCATCCGCACAAGAGACTTGAGCAGCCATGGCTCTGGTGCTCCAGGCAAAGCCTGAAACCATTCCCCAGGCCAAGGGGCAGCTGCAAGCTCGAAGCCGACAAGGGGTGCGTCTGAGTGAGGAACACGCCGCCCACCGTAGTGTCAGTTTCTCACCTCCACACTCTTTTCACTTCTCTCACGAATTAACTCGTTCTGTTCTCTGAGCCGCTGCTGTTCTTCTTGAAGGGAACAAATCCGGTCTGTTGCAGCTGCAAGCTGATTAAGAAAGACTTCTTACATATTTTAACAACAAAATTAATCTTGCTGTCCAAATCAAAAGCTGACATCTACTTGGCTTCCTCACAATCTACAATCTATCTTACTTCCTTGCTTTGAGTAGGGAATTTTGGTTCAAACTTCAAAGGCATAAAAATGTATCTAGTAAAAGCTCTCTCCTACCCCACCACAGTCCTAGTTCTGTATTCTCTCCAAAATTTTATACATATTTCAAAATTGGTAACATACAATTTTATGTGGACAGTAATTTATGTACACACACAAAGAATTAGGGACAGCCCAAATGTCTAGTATAAAAATGGTAACATAAATTACTGTTGGTGGTGCATGCCTTTAATCCCAGCACTCCGGAGGCAGAGCAGGCAGGTCTCTGTGAGTTCAAGGCTAGCCTTGTCTACATAGCAAGTTCTAGGCCAGCTGGGGCTACAGGGAGACCCTGTCTCAAAAATGCCCCCAAAAAGGGGAAGAAAAATGGTAACATAAATTACACTGGAAGCACAAAACTGAAATATGTTAATTGTTCAAATATTTTTCATTTATTTATTCTTATTTTATGTTGAGTGCTTTGCCTGCATGCATGTAAGTGTACCCATGTCATACACTGCCCATGGAGGTAGAAAAGGATGTCAGATCCCCTGAACTGGGGTTGAAGATGGCTGTTAGCCACCATGTGGGTGCTGGGAACCAAACTCGGGTCCTCTGCAAGAGCAGCCAGTGCTCTTACCTGCTGAGCCATCTCTTTAGCCCCTTATGAAAGCTTTTAATGACTTGGAAACCTACTTACAACCCAGAGCATGCGGTTTTGGCTAGATGGCCAGGCAAGCCCCTGAGATCTGCCTATTTCTGCTTCCCAGCTCTGGGATTACAGAAACATGCTGTAGCGCCCAACTTTTATGTGGGTGCTAGGGATCTAAACTCAGGTTTTCATACTTAGGCAAGTACTTTACCCATGAGCCATCTCCCCAGTCCCCCCTTTTTAGTTTTTGATAAGCAAATGTATATTTTATTGTTAAGGGGAATAAAAAATTCTGTCGGGGGAGAATCAAACTTAAGTCATCAGAGGCAGGCCGGAGAGGAAGCCTTCCTCTCTTTGAATGTGTTATCATGGTCTAAGGAAACATGCAAAGAAGTTGTTTGCTTTCATGAACATGTCCAACAAGAGGATATTATGAGAGGCAAGGAAGACAGGAAAATAGCAGCCAGGCCCCTCCCTGTTCCAGCTCCAGGCCCAGCTTCCAAGAGGAGAGAGGCTGGACAAGGAACAAGGAAGTCATCTGTACACTGCTTAACACTGGGACCCTGAGGCACCGAACTGTCCCCTAAAAGTTACCCAAGAACCCAGGCTGGTTTCTAAACAACTGCTGTGGCCTAGGAAGATGTTTTAAGGCTTCAGAAGGTGTTAGTTGTCAAAAAGAAAGAAGCAGGCAATGATACTAGCTCCTTTCCACTCCTCTCTGTGGAGGCACAGACAGCATATACATTACTTCTCAAGACCGCATGCCTTTAAAGAAAACTCAGCTTTTCTATTTCCTCCAGTGGAAGCATGCCACCTGATTGGAGAGCAGTGTTCTATTTGTTTAAAGTCACCCAACTCTGCAAAACACTCCCTGAAATGTTTAATTCCTATTTATATGATAACAGTCTAACAATCTTTACAATACTGAATTTATGTGTCATCACCCAACTTGGAAACAGAAAAGTGAGGCTCAAAAACCTCCCTCCCTCCATGGAGGCTCAAAGGCCTGCTTACCAGGGGGAGGACAGGTCCTTCAGTACTAAATGTAGTGGCTCCTCCCACGACATCCCCTGGAATACTATCTTTGTGGCCCCTCAACTCATGCAAAGCTGAGCTCCTCCCCTGAAAGCCCCTGGGGAGAGCAGAGAGAGACAGTCTGTAGTGAATCCTGGGCGGGGGGGAGGTGACCTCTGTAATATACCCTCCTTGGCACCCTGCCTCCATGCTGTGGGGTGCTCCTTTTTAAAACCCCTTCTCAAAGCTCTCCTTCTTCCCGCTACCTGTGGAAAGCCTCAATGGATGAGCAACCCCCCTCCTGCTAACAGGAGACAAGATGTGTCCAGCAAGGAGACTGCCGGGCAGCGGGCAGCAAGCCTTCTTCCTCGGCCTCAGCCCTCCTTCTTCCTGTCCTTTCAGTCTCTCTCCTCCTAGTGAGAAAGCAGAGAAAGACCACGCTGTGGGGAGACTGGTGCTGTGCTCCCAAGGGGCCAGAGCAGAGGGGTGGGCTGGGTGCCTCGTGACAGTCTGCTTTCGGGGGCAGCAGGGAAGCGTTTGATAGCAAAGGTGGGAAATAGGAAAACTGTGCTTCCACGGCAGATGTTGGGCTGCTCTGATGATGAGTTCTTGGAGGTGATAAAATTGTACTGCCTCAAGATCACTGTTGTGGCTCACTGGGAGCCCTGGGCAGGTGGAATATGCACACTCTCGTCATGTCTCCTGTGCAGCGCCATTCCAGGCTAGCTCCCTTTCCTGTCAGCAAGACACTCTGATCAGATGTACCAACTAGACCATTTCTTCCTCTCTCTTTCTCCTGTCCTGAGGATCGAAGCTAGGGCCTTGTGCATACTAGGCAAGCACTCTATCATGGAGTGCTCTTTTTACCTTTTGTTTTGACATGGGGACATGTTAAGTTGTTCAGACTGGCTTTAAACTCTCTAGCCCACGAAGACTTTGCTGTCCTCCTGGCTCAGTCTCCCAAGCAGCAGGGATTACAGCTGCCACCTACCATTTCTCTTTTTGGGTCACTCTATTTTGTTTAAAGGTAAATACAAACCTCTTCTTGGAGCTTTGAATTAGTCTTCTCCAAGCCATCTATCTTAGTTTGAAGATCCCCAACTGTGCAGCTGTAGAAATAAGCATTCTAGGTCAGGGTAAACTTGTAAGGGCTGGTTGTTTTCCCAGCTGGTGAACAAACAGTCCTCAGTTTCCCGTAGGAAAGGGACGGCTCCTAACTCGTGGAGGCAAGAACTCTCAATGTGTGTGCACATTTTAATATCACTGTCAATAAATTTTATCCTTAAAATATGCTACTTATTTGGGCCTAGAGAGATGGCTCAGTGTTTACGAGCACTGGCGGCTCCTGCAGAGGACTCAGGTTTGATTCCCAGCACCAACAAGGCAGCTGACAACTGTCTGTAACTCCAGTTCCAGGGGATCGGATGCCTTCTTATGACCTCTGTGGGCATTGCATGACATAGGTACACTTACATACATGCAGGCAATACACTTATACACATAAAATAAAAAATAAAGTATTTAAAAAATATGCTAGTATGCTTTACATACGATTTCTAGATGGGCTGACTAGGCAGTGGATAAATTTACACTGACAGACATCTGGATATTTACACTGACAGACATCTGGGTACAAATGCTTGACTAGCGGGGACTTAACAGGTATGGTGGACTACATGAGGTCCAGTGGGTAGATGGGGGGGCATGGATGGGGGAGGGGGGGTCTAAATTTGTCTAAGAACTATTGTATGAAATTACAAAAGCTCAATAAAAAAATTTTTTTAAATGCTACTTGTTCTAGTTTGCCTTCAATTGCTGTGACAAAACACTTTGACCAATATCAACTTGCAAAGCATTTATTTGGCTTACAATCTCCGCAGCCACTGAGGGAGCCCAAGGTAGGAACTCAGGGCAGGATCTTGGAGGCAGGAGCTGGAGCACAGGTCATGGAGGAATGCTGCTTACTGGCTTGCTTCCCTGGCCCATGCTCAAACCTGCTTTCTTATACAACGTAGACCCATCTGCCCAGGGGTGGCACCACCCACAATGGGCTGGGCCCTCCTACATCACTCCATAATTAAGAAGATATCCCACAGACATGGCAACAGGCCAGTCCTATGGAGGCAGTTCCCCAATTGAGGCTCCCTCTACCCAGGTGTGTCATCAAGCTGACACCAGAGCTCTCCAGCACACCACTCATTCCTTTTTTTTAGTCAGCTACAAAGAAAACATGTTTCCTCCAATATAGTATCTGATGAGACCTAAAAATGTGCTGGCTGTCCTATGTTTAAATATCCACAGAGACAGCGACACTTGTAGAGAAGGACCAATGTTGATTTTCATTTTATTTATTTCTTGCATCTAGTGCATGTGTATGTGTGTACTTGATTATGTGTACACATGCATGTGGGGGCCAGAGGTTGATGTTGGGTATCTGTTTTTTTTCATACAAGGGTCTCACTGAACCAGGAGCTCACTGATTGGCTAGACTGGCTGGGCAGTAGGCTCTGGGGATCTGACTGTCTTCTTCATCTCCCCCCACCCCTCCACCCCCCCAAAAAAACTAGGGTTACAGAGGTACAAGGCTGTGCCAAACTTTTTCTTTTTTGTCTTTTTGAGACAGGTTGGTCCAGAACTCAGAGAGATCCATCTGCCTCTGCCTCCCAAGTGCTGGAACTAAAGGCGTGTGCCCAGCTTTTTCAGGTGCTACAGATTCAAACTCAGGTCCCCATACTTGCATGGCAAGCACTTTACCCACTGAGCCATCTCCCCAACACCAAAGTTGGATTTTTAAATCTTTTATACTTTCTCACATTTTTAAAGTATTCTTCAAGTGATATGTGATACTTCTACACTGAAAAAAATGTAAGAAAACTAATGCAACAAATCTGCAGATAGAAAAACAATAGACTTTACAGTAATAACAATTGTCTTAACAACAACAGCAGCCAGGCTTTGGACTATTTATAGACCAGGCCTTCCTTATTGTAAGCATTTTATGTTATTTAATTTTTAAATTTATTATTATTTTAAATAATTATGATTAACTTTATTTTTTAATTATTATTTTTTAATGTGTATGAGTGTATTGCCTGCATAATGTGTGAGTGCACCTGTGTTGTGCAATGCCACAGAGGTCAGAAGAGGGCTTTGGAGTCCCCTGGAACTGGAGTAAGGACGGTTCGTAGCCACCATGTGGGTGCTGGGAATCAAACCCGGGTCCTCTGCAAGAGCAATCAGTGCTCTTAACACTGAGCCATCTCTCCAGCCCCAATTTATTATTTTTATTGTATGTGTATGAGTGTATTGCCTGCATATGTGTAAGTGCACCCAAGTTGAGCAATGCCCACAGAGGTCAGAAGGTGTTAGATCCCCTGGGACTGGAGTATGGATGGTTGTTAGCAGCCATGTGGGTGCTGGGAATGAAACCCTGGTCCTCTGCAAGAACAGCCAGTGCTCTTAATCACTGAGCCATCTCTCTAGCCCTGTTGTAAGCATTTTAAATGCCTCAACTCAGTTAAGTTCCCCCACAATTTCAATGAGATGGATCCTATTGTTAATTTATTTTGCAGATGAGGAAACCCATATATTTACTCTAAAAAACTCAAGTTCATGGATTCCCTCCCCTCCCCAACTTTCTTTTGGTGATGAGGATGGAACCTAGGGTTCCCCTGGCTTACAACCTCAGCCCCTTCCTTTATTATTTATTTGCTTGTTTGTTTTTTGAGACAAGGTCTTACTTTGTAGCCCCAGCTGACCTGGAATTCACTATATAGACCAGGCTGGCCTCAGAGAGATTCACCTGCCTCTGCTTCTCAAGTGCCAGGATCAAAGGCATATGCCACCATACCCAAGCTTCTTTCTTTATTTTAATCCTTCTTTTTCCTGAAGCTGTGGGGTTGAGGCAGAGGCTCCAGGTTTTGTGTATTTACCTCTCTATGCTGCATAACAGCAGCAAACAAAGAGCGGACTATCCCTCACAAGCTGCTCATCAGGAGAGGCTCCTCTTGCAGTCTGGACACTGAATGAACATGACCTGAATGATTATAGCTTGCCTCTTGGATTCGAAAAAGGTTACAAATCGTGGAAGTTCCCCAAGCAGCAACAGGATGCTGGGTGTGCACCTGCCACTGAAGAAGGGAGCAAGGCTCACCTTAAGTGCCGGTTAAGTTCTTCCACATAATTTTTTTGATCAAGGACATCGGTAATTCTCTCATGCCTGTGAAAAGAACACAAAGGGAGAAACTTTTCAAAATCATGTCAGATGCTTTGTAAATATCCCCCAACCTTCTAATCTTGTAGAAACCAAGAGACAGTCAGTGCTAAGTATAGAGCAGAGAGCAAGGCTGGCTGGGACACAGAAGCTGGGCTCAAGGACAGGCCGCTCCAGAAACCAGGGGCCCTGCAGACTCCCCTACTTCTGTAGACTGCCTGGGCCTCTTGGATGAGGAAAGCCACCTGCATGTACACAGTGAAAACAGCAGCCTGCTACGCAAACGGCTCTGGAAGTGGCAGGTGACATGGTCCTTACTATACAAAGGAGACTGGGTTCACTCAGGAAACAGACTTCAAAACATAAAGCAGAGCACCATAGAGGCCAGGACCTCTGTAAGAGCAGTCAGTGCTCTAACCACTAGGCCATCTATCTATCCAGTACCAGTTTATTTTTTAAAATTATATCAGTGTGTGCATGTGTGTGTGGGGTGTGTGTGTGTGTGAGCCAAGGCACGTGTGTGGAGGTCAGAGGACAACTTGTGGGAGGCCAGTTCTCTCAGGGACTGAACTCAGGTGGCAGGCTTGCTGGCAGGAACCTTTACTCATTGAGCCATCTTACCACCCTCCTTGTAATTTCTTTAAATACACATTGACATATGGAGTTGACATAAGTGGGACCATCCTATATGATTTCATGCTACAGGTTCTGGGCTTTTCAATTATTTTTCTTCTTTACTTGTTCTTCACTTTACATAGCTCTCTGGCTAACCCACAACAGCCTGTTGAGATATAAAATCCTTTGAGATTTTAATATCTAGCCAACATACATGCGGTATATATAAATAAAATACATAATATACATTAGATTTTTTGGCTTATAAAAATAGGATGCAGGGGCTGGAGCAGTGGCTCAGTGGTTAAGAGCACTGGCAGTCCTTCCAGAGGACCTGGGTTCAATTCCTAATACCTACATGGCAGCTAACAACTGTCCATAACTCCAGTTCCAGGGGAATCTGACCCCCTCTTCTGAGCTCTCTGGGCACTGCATGACATTGGTGCACTTACACACAAGTAGGCAATACACTCAGACACATAAAATAAAAATAATAAAAAATAAAAAAAAATAAGATGCATATACTAAGCATACTTTTCTCATTCAACCTTCTTTTGGACAAATCTCTTTAAGTCTACTATATACACAGCTCAACTTCCCTTATGTCTGCATCACATACCATGGATATTCCATAATTCCTTCAATTATTCCCTTACTAGTAAAAAATTGATTTATCTCAACATGTTTTTGACATTGAGAATAAAACTTGAGGGCTGGTGAGATGGTACAGTGGGTAAAGCACTTGCTGTGCAATACTGGAGACCTGAGTTTGATCCTTGGAACCCACATAAAGGTGGAAGGAAAGAACCAACTCCACAAAGTTGTCCTCTGACCTCCAAATGTGTGCCATGGCACTTGTGCCCACACACATGCATCACATACACACTTAAGATAGATTTAAAAAAATTAAGTTTTGAGCCATTGAGCCCTTGTTCTTAGGGCTCCTGCTAGCCCCTTCCTTGGTAAGGTGCTTGAGACCAGAGGGCTGGTCACAGAGTCGTATGACAGGCAGGTAACACATGTTCATGGTGAAATACTCAACATACCCCAAGGGTTCACAGGGAAACCCCATGCCATGCCTGCCTCCACAGGACGCTGCTGCCATCAGGTCTACACATATGTTCTATGCACATGAAAGTACAACATATAAACATGCTTACATAGCCTGTTGTTATGGTATAAATGATAGCACCTTACACATATTGCTTTTCCCCTTTCTTCTTTTCCAAGATAACTTCCTGTGAAGAGAATGCTTTTGTCATTCAGGATGAGGGAGAGCTATTCAGTGGCATGAGAGACATCCAAGACCTGCTGTGACCAATGAATAAACCCAAAAGCATCTTAAACAGCACTATCCCCTTACATTTAACAAGGGACTGCATGAACCAACAAGCATAGACCTGCAAGGCCTTACCAAGGGCTTGGGGGCTGAAGAGATGGCTCAGTCAGTAAAGTGCTTGCTGTCATGCATGAGGGCCTGAGTTTGATCCCCAGCACCCACATAAAATGCTGGGTACAGTGACACACACCTGTAATCCCAGTGCTGGGGAGGCAGAGATGGGAGAATTCCTGGAGCTTGTTGGCCAATTCATTCCACTGCTGGTCTAAAAAGTAGGTGGGGCCAGGTGTGGTGGTGCATGCCTTTGATCCCAGCACTTGGGAGGCAGAGGCAAGCAGATCTTTATGAGTTCGAGGCCTGCCTGGTTCACATAGCGAGTTCCAGGCCAGCTGGGGCTACAGGGGGACCCAGTCTCAAAGAAACAGGGGAAAAAAAAGTGAGGCGGAGAAGCGACTAAGGAAGATACCTGTTGTCTACCTCTAGCCTCCACATGTAGGTACATGCATACCTCCACACACAGGTGCGTGTGTACAAACATGTACACACATGCACAGACACACTCACCCACACATGCACGTACACACACACACACATACACACATACACACACACACAAACACACGGGCTTGGAAGGAAGTGAAAGGTGGCTTCCTCTGGGGAGAGGAGTGGGACTGGACTGAGGCCAAAGGCGGGCAGCATGAATGGGGAACTTCTACAGGCATGCTCTGTTCTTTTGAGCACAGTGCCTTAAATAATAAGGATGCTACCAGATCTACCTCTGTAATTAGCTCAGCAAAAGGTAGAGAGCTATGCAACGCACAGTACTTACTCTTTGCTGCCGTCAAGATCCTGCACATCCTTCAGGTAGAGGGAAAAATCAATCACTCCAACCTGATTGAAATAAAGGACAAGCTTAGTTCCTCATTCTTACAAACCTGAGAGCCCTGAAATTCAGGGCACTGACTTCACTATGGGCACATAGCCAAAGGAGGGTGGTGTTTATGAAGCTGAACAAAGTTTTGGGGGTAAAAAGTAATGAAAGAGACTTAGATTTTTTAGACTAAAGTGGTGACCTTACCTGACACTTCTGAGTCCTTTTTCCCCTAACTTTGGGGAAATTGGTTGAATCTCCTAGGAACTAGGAAGGACCAAGATCCTTCATATATCTAAACTTCAAAAACTTTGTCCCCTGATACAAAGAGGCCTCTGTCAAGAAATAGAACATTTGAGGGGCTGGAGAGATGGCTCAGTGGCTAAGAATGCTTGTTGCACAATCATGAGGACTGAATTAGAATTTCTAGCACTCATGTAAAAAGCTGGGCATGGTTACTAGTTTTTGTAATCCCAGCATTGTGAGGGTGGAGGCAGGAGGATCACTGGGGCTTGCTGGCTGCCAATCTAGTTCCAGGTTCAGTGGAGACCCTGCCTCAAGGGAATAAGGCCAACTGTGATAGAGCAGGACACCTGATGTCCTCTCTGACCTGGTGCAGGCACATGAGCACATATCACATTCACATACCACACATACACTGAAATATAGTACTTCAACTTGAGAGGTATAGGCAGGAGGATCAGGAGTTCATGGCCATCTTGACTACATAGTGAATCCAAGACCAGCCAGGGCTGAATGAGACCCCGTCTTCTTTTTTTCGGTCTTTTTGAGACAGGGTTTCCCTGTAGCCTCAGCTGTCCCGGAACTCACAATGTAGACCAGGCTGGCCTTGAACTCACAGAGATGCGCCTGCCTCTGCCTCCCAAGTGCTGGGATTAAAGGTGTGCACCACCACACCTGGCTTCTTTTTTTAAAATACTTTATTATTTTAATTTTTTATGTGTATGAGTGTATTGCCTGCACGTAGGCAGTACACCCCTGTTGTTCAATGCCTGCAGTGGTCAGAAGAGGCATTGAATTCCTTGGAACCAGAGTTATGGACAGTTGTTAGCCACCATGTGGGTGTTGGGAATTGAACCTGAATCCTCTGCAAGAGCAGTTAGTGCGCTGAACTGCTGAGCCGTCTCTCCACCCTGAGACACTGTCTTAAAGAACTAAAATAAGTAAATACTCCCATAACTAAGCACTTGAGAGTGAGTAAAGTCATTCCTATTTGAAACACAGAAAACTGGGCCGGGAGTGGTGGCACACGCCTTTAATTCCAGCACTCAAGAGGCAGAGGCAGGTGGACCTCTGTGAGTTCAAGGTGAGCCTGGTCTACATAGTGAGTTCCAGGCCAGTTGGGACTACGGGGAGACCCTGTCTCACCGCCCCCCCCACCCCAATCTGTCTGTGAGTTTGAGGCCAGGCTGGTCTACATAGCAAGCTCCAGGCCAGCTGAGGCTACAGGTAGACCCTGTCACAAAAAGACCAAAAAACAAAACAAAAAAACCCAAAACCAAAAAACAACAACAAAAAAACCCACTCTGTAATAATTTTGAGACATAACTGCAATTTCTCTGCTCCCACCTTTCACCAAGAGGACTCCATTTTTCTAACATTTAAACCCAGACAGCCTGAGGGCCTGTCTTTTGAGTTGCAACATGGCGCCCACATGGATCCTTTTTTGAGGGATATATACCTTCGAGGGTCTGAACTTTTCTGTAAGATATCAAAATGCTGGAGACCATGTGGATGGACCTCAGGCAAACAGCCATGCTACAGAAGCCCTTGATGCTCCATCACCAGGTCTCTGCATGTCAGCCCAGGTCTCAGATAAAGCACACAGCAAGCCTTCAGTTTCAGGTCCAGCCACCCCGACTGAAACTGCATGTGCTCTTGAGCCCTACCTCCCCTACTCAATCCAGTCAACTCCAAACTGAGTCACAGTGATTGTGATACTTCACATGACTGTTGACTTGTCACAGTCATACAACAGGAGAGATGTACATAAAACAAAATCTATACACACTTAATACAGATTAGAAGTAGAAAAAGATGTCGGGTATGGATGCCGGGTGTGGTGGCAAATGCCTTTAATTCCAGCACACAGAAGACAGAGGCAGGTGAATCTCTGTGGGATCAAGGCAGCCTGGTTTACATTATTAGTTCTAGGCCGGCTGGGGCTACAGGGAGACCCTGTTTCAAAAAAAGTCCTAAAAGGTTTCTTCCTAGAAACAGTACTCATAATGGAAAGAAGGATTGAGAGGGAGGGAAGTTTTAGTTTCAGTTTAAAGATGTCCAAGCTACCCAACTGTTTTTAATGAGTGTGCATTTCTTTTGTAATAAAATGCTGAAAATGAAGAAGTATCTATTCCTTCTGTTATTCACCCAATAACAGAAGGAATGAGAGAATATTATGTAATGCAGAATTTAGTGGATAGGAAGCAAAGAGAGCCTGGCTCCAAGAGCAGAATCCATAGACAGAAGCTACTTCTTCAGGGAACACAGCAGATCACCCCAAGTATGATCCATGTTGTTTTTTTTTAAATTTTATGTGTATGCGTGTATTACCTGCATGTAGGTAGGTACACCTGTGTCGTGCAATGCCCGCAGAGGTCAGAAGAAGGCATCGGGTCTCCTGGAACTGGACAGTTTATGGATTATGGATGGCTGTTAGCTGCCATCTGGGTGCTGGGAATTGAACCCAGGTCTTCTGCAAGAGCAGTCAGTGCTCTTAACTGCTGAGCTATCTCTCCAGCCCCAATATTTGTATATAATACAAATCTCAGCTGCCTGGGCATGGTGGTGAATGCCTTTAGTCCCAGCATTTGGAAGGCAGAGGCTGGCAGATTTTTATGAGATTGAGGCCAGTCTGGTCTGTGCAGAGTTCTAGGCCAGCTGGGACTACAGGGAGACTGTCTCAAAAAGACCAAAAAAAAAAAAAGTTTTCACAGATATTTTATTTATTCAGCATAGCAGACTGCCTAGAAAATCTTGAAAAAGTGTAATGAAATAGTCAGGCAGTCAATGGAACATGCTAGTCTAGTCAGGAAAAGAATGTGCGGGGCTAGAAAGATGGCTCGGTGGGTAAAGTTCTTGCCATAAGTGTGAGGATCTGAATTCAAATCCAATCCCAGAACCCCCATGAAATAGGATGTAGCACTGTGTCTAAGGCAAGGTGGGAGGCTGACATAGCAACAGAAAAGACTCACCAAGGGAAAACTAGTTCCTTCTGGTCAAGAAGATGAAACCTGGGGCTAGAGACATGGCTCAGCAATAAGAGACTGACTGCTCTTACAGAGGACCCAGGTTTGGCAGTTAACAACATCTATAACTCTAGTTCCAGGGGATCCGACACTCTCTTTTGGTGTCTGCAGACATTGTACAACATGAGTACACTTACATACATACAGGCAAAACACTCATAAGAAAATTAAATAAATAAATAAATAAATAAAACAGGATAAAACCTTGGGCCTAGGTAGAGACCTAGCATTGCAATCTACCCAAAACATGAACAACTTAATCCAGGTGGGCAGGTCATCACCTGGCCGTGGGCCCACCCAAGGAAGACAGGCTCACCTTAAGCCAAACTAGAGAGGCAGTAATTATCCCTTTAATTTGATAATATACTTTTCCTTCCCAGAATTCTTGTCCCCTAGTGCAGTCCTAACTGGTCGCTATGAAGTTCTGCTGGGTCTGCCTAACTACTTATTTTTGCTTCTTTCCTGTCTTTCTTTTGCTGCTAGCCAGAGCTTACATGTGCTTTTCCTGGTACTTTGGGCTTCCTTGCTCTGTGTCTAAGGCTCTCCTCCCCACCACATGGCTGCTTGTCTACCATACGGCTGACCTCTGTGCTGGCTTAACTCAAGCAGCTTGGCCTTCTCTTCCCTGTTCCCCTCCTCCTGGCAGCTGCTGAGTTTTACAGCTTACCTGTCCTAGAGTTTTTCTTTTTCTTTTTTTTAAATTTAAATGTTTTATTTATTATTTTTTATTTTATGTGTATGAGCGTATTGCCTGCATGTAGGTAAGTGCACCTGTGTCATGCAATGCCCTCAGAGGACAGAAGAGGCCATCGGATCCCCTGGAACTGGAGTTATGGACAGTTGTTAGTTGCCATATGGGTGCTGGGACTTGAACCTGGGTCTTCTGCAAGAACAACCAGTGTTCTTAACTGCTGAGCCATCTCTCCAGCCCCGAGTTTTTCTTTTTAACTCTAATAAACAAACCTGTCCCTATACCCTTAGATGGTATCAGGGTGAGGAAAGGAGAAATCCAGAAGCTTGCCAGCTAGCTAGTCCTACATATGACCAGCAACACAAGAGACCTTGTCTTAGCCAAGATAAAGCAGGTTGGTGAGATGGCTGGGCAGGTAAAGGTGCCAGCCACCAAGTCTGCCAACTTGAGCTTGACCCCTGGAACCCACACGGTGGAGGAGAGAACTGACTTCACAAAGTTGTCCCCTGCCTCTGACTCCACACATGCCCCTCATCATACATACACACACACGCACACACAAATAAATAAATAAATAAATAAATAAATAAATAGAAAATAAAATACATGGGACTGGAGAGATGGCTCAACAGTTAAGAGCGGTGGCTGCTCTAGCAGAGGACCCAGGTTTGGTTTCTAGCACCCATGTGGTGCACTTACACACAGGCAGGCAAAACACTCACACACATAAAATAAAATGAAAAAAAATCACAGGCAGGCAAAACACTCACACAAAAAAAATAAAAAGAAAAAAAAAAAAAAAAAAAAAAGAAAATACACTTCTTGCAGCAAAGAAAAATGGGTATTATTAACAACACTTTCAAAATTATCTTTTTGTTTTGTTTTGTTTTTGTTTTTTTGAGCAGTCTCCCTATAGCCCCAGCAGGCCTAGAACTGGCTATGTAGAGTAGGCTGGTCTTGATCTCCCAGAGGTGCACCTTCCTCAGCCTCCCAAGTACTGTGAATATGGGCATGTGCTCCACACCTGGCTAAAACTGATCCTAAGAAAACACATGGAAGCAGGTGTTGGGGCACATGATCGTAATCCCAGTAATCAAGAGGCTGAGGCAGGAGGATAGCCAGCTAGGGCTATTTAATGAGACCCTGTCTCAAATATAACAAACCTCCTCCCGACATTTACTGTAAAATAATAATCACACATGTTCATGTGTCTTCACTCATTTGCTGGTATGATTTTTATCAAAATGTATGTATCTCAAGACTACTGACATTATATGTGATGTTTAGCTCCTTCCTCCCTCCCTTCCTTCCCTCTTTCCTTTGACAGTGTCTCATGTAGTCCAGGCTGACTTTGAAGTTGCTATGTAATGAGGATGACCTTGAACTTCTGATCCTCCTGCCTCTGCCTCTAGAATTTGGGAATTAAAGGCAGGGGCCACCATGCAGGGCTGTGGATGCAACCCAGGTCCCAGCACATGCAATGCAAGAGCTCAACCACATGAGCCACAGCCCTGGCTCTGCCCATGCCACTTCTTCACTCTTCCCTGAGATAGCCTCGTTGGCACCCCCCTCCCAGCACAGCAGCCTAGGCCTCCACTACCAGAGAGTTCTCTCCTCTGACCCTTTTCTTAGATTCAATACATGTCTGGAGATTTCATAAAAAATCCTGGCCTAATTAATTCCATTTAGAGATGAAGTCTCATTTTACCTGGGAATCCAAGTCTTCTCCTTTTAGGCAGAGATTGGCATCAAGGACGTTGAGTCCCACCAGCAGACCGACAATCACCATCCCCTCTTCCTCCATCATTAAGGCCTCAGGCTCATAGAACTCACTGCAAGAGACTGACATATCAGGGGGCTGCTCAGAACATCTTTACTGTGCACCCTGGCACCAGCACAACCTGTCTTGCCAGCTCTCCACAGAGGCCTGGCTACCAACATCACCCAACAAGTGACCTGTGGGAAGTTCCCTTTTTTCTACTGTGTCAAGTGCTTTCTCTTCTGCTATAATTGGGCCCTAAGTGTTGCTGCCTAGAGAGAGGTCTTTAGGTCATGGGTGTGCTCTGAAGGGGATGTAAGACCTTTGTTCTGTCCTCTCTCTCACTTCTGGGTCAGGAGGTGAGTGGCTTTTTCAGCCATGTACTCCCACCATGATATGCTGCCCTGCTACAGGAACAAGGCAAGGAGACCAATTATGGACTATAGACCTCTGAAACTGCCAGCCAAATACACCTTTTCTTTTATGTTGTGTATATGTGTGTCTATGTTGCAGCACATGTGGATGGATGCATGTGCATGTCTTTAAAGACCAAAGACCAACCTCAGGTGCTGTTCCTCAGATGTCTACTTTGTTGTTTTGAGACAGGGTCTCTCATTAGCCTGGAGCTCACTGACCATGGTAGGCTAGCTGGCCAGCAAACCCCAGGGATCCTCCTGTCTCCATTTCCTATCACTGGGATTACAAACACGTGTTACCCTGCCTGACATTTTACGTGGGCACTGGGGACTGAACTTGTGTCTTCATGCTTATAGAGCAAGCACTTTACCAGACTGTGGCACTGCCCTAGCCTCCACACTCAATTTTTCTACATTGGTGCTGGGGACTAAACTCAGGCCCTGTGTTAGCACAGTAAGCGCTTTATATACTGAGCCACCCACCCAGCCTTTTTTCCTTTAGAAGCTGATTATCTGAGGCGTTTGTTACAGTGACAGGAAGCTGACCAATACCTCCATCCTGTCCTCTCTACCTGTGGCTTAGCAAAGGCTCTCTTCCTTCTTCCCAGCCAATGCTAACTCTTCCACTTAGATCATGGACCTCAGTCCTTTTCATTTACTCCTGGCCCCTGTGCTCCTTACTGTCACTCTGCCTGAGCCCCCGTGTCTTCAGTGGCTCCTGTCTGCACTGGTATGTATTGTTTCCTCCCTCACACTCTAATAAACATGGCTTTTTGTATCTAGAAAGAGAACTCTCCCTTCTTCCTTGGGTCATGCTGAGCAGCAAACATCTGTTGCCTCTACTTCCTTACCTCACAGTCTACTGGGCCAGTCACAGTGCAGTCACGCCCTATCTGTTGCTGCTTCTGGTGCAAGGAAAGTTAGTCTTAAAGAATTAGTTTGTCAGAAGGAAATCTATAACTCAAAGTTACTCATGGTAACAGTACTCAAAGCATATGAAATATTTGAAATCAGTATCATGTAAAGATATGTTAATAAGGAGTCATGTATGATGGCCCATGTCTGTAATCCCAGCACACAGGAAGCAGAGGCCAATCTGGGCTACATAGTGAGCTCTAGGCTAGCCTGGGACACATTGTAAGACCCGGTCTCAAAAACAAACAAACCAAAAAAAGCTATGTTCATGACTTGAAAATTTTGAAAAATCAGGATTTTAGGCCATGCAGTAAAAGATATTGTTTGTTTGAGACATGTAGCTATAGCTGGCTTAGAGCTCCCCATGTAGAGCATGCTGTTCTCGGTGTCAGAGGCCCACGTGCCTCTGCCTCTTGAGGACTGGGGTTAAAGTGTGCACCACTACACCTTGCTATGTAATAGATATTTTCATCTTAACTAGACAAGAAAATTAACTCCACATATTTCTGCCTTATATTCAACCTAGAGAAAGTTTCATTTATTTTTATTTTTTTTATGTGAAAGTTTTGCCTGCATGCATGCAAGTATACCACATGCATGCCTGGTGCCCATGGAGGCCAGAAGAGGGTTTTGGATTCCTTGGAACTAGAGTTGTAGACAGTTGTTAGCTGCCATGTATGTGTGCTAGGAACCAAACCTGGGTTCTCTGCAAGAGTAACAAGTACTTACTGCTGCGTCATCTTTCTAGTCCAAAGAAAAAAATTTCTTTTATAATGACTATTTGTTTATACAGCTATAAATATAAAAAATGAATCACTAACAAATTTCAATAATACCCACTAAATTTTTACTGATGCTAGGAAATATACAATATTACAAATTGCATACGCAATCTTCAACTAGATAAAAATACTTATAAAAATACTAAAATTACCCACTGTACCTAGTTTAAAAGTTAGTTTTTTCTGTTATCATCTAGTCTAATAAATACCATTTCACTGAATCTTAAAGGAATGGGTGGGCTGCTAGTTACTAAATCTTAGGAATTGCTACTTCAGAAGACTATCTTCAGAATTTTCCAGAATGAAGTCATGTGAGTCTTCATTCATAATGATTTTGAGATACTAATGCTCAACAAAGAAATATTTGAAACCAAGTCTCAGAGCACTTGAGACTAACTTTAAAAAAAATTTTTTTAAAAAAAATTTTATGTGTATGAGTGTACTGGCGGCATGTGAGTGCATCTGTGTCGTGCAATGCCTCAGAGGTCAGAAGAGGGCATCAGATTCTCCTGGAGTGGAGTTAAGGATGGTTCACAGCCACCATGTGGGTGCTGGGACTTGAACCCAGGTCCTCTGCAAGAGCAGTCAGTGCTCTTAACCGCTGAGCCATCTCTCCAGCCCCAACTAAGAATAACTTTAATCAAAGCTTTGAACACTATATTTCCTTATTTTGATTCACAAATATCTATAGGACTATGCTCCAGTTACAAAGCAGAAGATAAAGACAGTGATGAAATACCTTAAGAGATGCTTATTATCTACAAGAACTTTCAGATAATCTGCCAGTTTCTTTTGCATGAGAGCAAGATAAAGCCAAGCTCTGCCTCTCCCCACGGCGGTCCTAGAATTCAAACAGAGAATCAGACCCTTGTGGCAGAACAACATCAACAGAGAAAATAAAAAAACAAACCTCAATTTATCCAGTAGGATTGACACACACACACACACACACACACACACACACATACTCACACAGCAGTTTGGAAGTTAGGGAGGTGCGGTCTGGGCCAAGGGCTGACTGTACAACTTTTGAAATTTGTACCACACATTTTTTTCCCTTTCCTTTTTTAAACAACAACAACAAAAAGTGTGTGTGTGTGGAGGGCACACTGGAGAGATGGCTCAGTGGTTAAGGGCATGAGCTGCTCTTGCAAAGGACCTGGGTTCAGTTCCCAGAACCCACACGGCAGCTAATAATTGTCACTAACTCCAGTTCCATGGTTTCAATGCCCTCTTCAGTGGGCATTGTATATCACAGGTGCATTTACATGCATGCACATAAAACACTCAAACACATAAAATGAGAGCTGGGCATGGTGGTACATGCCTTTAATTCCCAGCATTCCAGAGGCAGAGGCAGGCAGGGTCTCCATGAGATCAAGGCCAGTTTGGTCTACATAGCAAGTCCCAGGCTAGCTGGGGCTACAGGGAGACTCTGTTTCAAACTCCGGGCCCCACCCCCACAAAAACAAAACAAACAAAAAAACCCAACCTCTCCCAAACAAATACCTCCCCACCCCCAAAAACAAAACAAAAAACCCTTGAGCTACAAAAGTGATTTCAGGATAAATACATTAGATAAAGCTTTGAAATATTCAGAGTTTCATAGGTTAGATTTGTGGAATGGATGAACATTCTATCAAAAGACTGACAGAACACAGTACATGTCAAAGTGTTTGAGTCTCACAAGATTTCTGAGGCACAGGTTCAAATATGCAATTTTATGCTTAATTTTAACTGTGATAAAATAGACACAATGTAAGATTTACAACATTAACCCTGTTTAAAGCACATAGTTCAGTAGTGTTAAATACATTCCACACTATTGTGCAACTGTCTTCAAAAGTACAATTTTCAAAAGATCTGTGTTAAATATTATTTTTTTATGTATATGCATGTACTGCCTGCATGTAGGTAAGTGTACCCATGTCATGCAATGTCCATGGAGGGCAGAAGAGGCTGTCAGATTCCCTGGAACTGGAGTTATGGACAGTTGTTAGCTACCATGTGGGTGCTGGGATTTGAACCCCTGTCTTCTGCGAGAACACCAGTGCTCTTTTTTTTTTTTTTTTTTGTGGTCTTTTTGAGACGATCTCCCTGTAGACCTAGCTGGCCTGGAACTCACTATGTAGACCAGGCTGGTCTCAAACTCACAAAGAGCCACCTGCCTCTGCCTCCCAAGAGCTGGGACTAAAGGCGTGTGCCACCATGCCCAGCTTGAGAACCAGTGTTCTTAACAGCTGAGCCATCTCTCCAGCCCTGGGTTAAATATTAAAACAAAAACAAACAAAAAAGAGCAAGCTTTTCAACTGTAGTCTTAAAACTATTTAAGGGAAAAAGGAGTCTGTTTCATGCAGAATAACTACATTGGTAGCATCCAATAAAGTAGTAAATATACTACTGTGCTATAATGAGTCATCGTTGAGAAGAAACTCTCAAAGCCAAACACCTGGCTCCAAGGGCCAGATGTGCCCTAGAAGACCCAGAAGCTAGACACAAGAAGGGTTAAGCTAATATCATTAATAAAAAAGGCTCTGAAATCTGGCCTCCCCCCAATAAGTGAAGAGAAGAGAAAGTAAAACAGGGGAAAAGCTATTTAACCGTAGTGTAAACCTGGTCAAAGGCCCATGGCTATGGAGGTCATAGGCGGCAGGGACCCTACAACTGTTTTGCTAAATGGTCATATTGTCAAACTGCCTTCTAAAAGGCAGTTTTTATTCTGTTTATATTCACAGATTAGTGCTGTGCACCTCTGGCCAGAGACGCTTCTGTTTGCAAGACGCAATGGTAACTGCAGAGACTGGTCAAAATGCTAAGTGATGGTGAATGCTCAGCCCTAAACGGGACATCGATTCAACTCTCTACCCCAAGGTTCAGGGAACATTATGGAGGAAGTGGAGGAAAGAATGTAAGAGGCAGATAAAGGGAAGAACTGCTATAAAGCTCTGCCTTTTGGATACAACATGGTCACTATACTCATGAACTTATACCAGCTGTGGTTGTCTGCACAAGATGAAGCCATCAACATCCCAGCATGGATGGAAAAGGGGCTCATGAAGCTTCACATCTAGCTGAGGAGCTGTCGGCAACTGATGGGTTCTGGCGGGGAGTCATTCTTTGGGGGGGATGGTGTAGCGACCGTCAAGTGTCCATGCTTCTCTCCAGCCCCAACTTCGAGAATATTTGAGAACATTTTTATGCATATGAAAATAAGTATAAATATGAACTCTTGGGTCTAGAGAGATGGCTCAGTGGTTAAGATCATTGGCTGCTTTTGCAGAGGACCTGGATTCCCAGCACCTACATGGCAGTTAAGAACCATCCTTAACTCCAGGTCCAGGGGATCCAATTCCTTCTTCTGGCATCCACAAGCCAGAGTGTACTTACATGCATGCAGGTAAAACACTTATAAAATAAAAATTAAAAAAAAATTAAAAAGGAGTCCTTCCTTTTACAAAAACTGAGTACACTGTTCTGTTTTTTTTCTTTTTTACATGTTTACTTAGTGTGTATGTGTGGGGGTAGGCCATGCACATGCCCATGGCATGAGTGGAGCTTAGAGGACAACCTGTGGGAGTCAGTTCTCTACTTCCCCTACATGGATGCCTGGGAGCAAACTTGTATTGTCAAGTGAACCATCTCACTGGCCTGTGGGTTTTTTATTTAAAAAGTTAATTAGCATACACAGTATAGTATTGGGTTTCATTCTGGCATTTCTATTAAAAATATTTATTTTATTTATGTGCCTGTATATGTGCCTGCTTGTCTGTATGTGCACCATGTGTATGCAGTGCCTGAGGAGGCCAGAAGGAGGTCTGGATCCTAGAACTGGACTTATAGGCCACTGTGAGCCACCTGATGTGGGTGCTGGGAATTAAACCCAGGTCCTCTGCAAGAATAGCAAGTGCTCTTAACCGGCAGCCATCTCTCCAGCCCTGATTCTGGCATTTTTAATAGAACTCTTTTTTTTCTTTTTGGTTTTGTTTTGTTTCTTGAGACAGGGTCTCTTGTAGCTACAGCTGGTCTGACACTCACTATGCAGACCAGGCTGGCCTTGAAATCACAGAGATCTATCCACCTCTTTGGGTGTTGGGATTAAAGGTGTGTACCAGCTTGTCTGGCACTTTTAGTCGATGAGTCATCTCTCCAGTCCCAATACCTTTAACCTATATGAACTTTGTGACAAGCAGCAACCACTGTCTTCATACGAAAAAAAAAGGAATTTGAGGGTCAGAGAGGTACAAGTCTTGCTCAAGATCACGTGAATAATGAGAAACACAGGCGGGCTTAAAATCTAAGGAGGGTACGGTTCATATGACAGTTTGCTCCAAGTCAGACAATTTTTTTTTAATATGTGTTATGTGTATTGCCTGTATGTATGTGAGTGCACCTGTGTCATGCATTGCCCACAGAGGTCAGAAGAGGGTGTTAGATCCCTGGAACTGGAGTCAGGATGGTTGAAGCCTCCATGTGGGTGCTGGGATTCAAACCCCAGTCCTCTGCAAGAGCAACCAGTGCTCTTAACCACTGAGCCATCTCTCCAGCCCTCAAGTCAGAAAATGTTTTATCAGCAAGGAACTGAGAGGAGGTAAACACAAGGAAGTGAAAAAGCAAACATTCAGTCAGCATAATGCTTCTCACTCACTTTAATTCTGGAAGATTCCTGACACTCGTAGCTATATCTGATGCTTCAGGACAAAGTTTCTCCACCAGCTCCAAAGGAGCAAAGAAAGATTTATTTTGGCCAATAAAACTTTTCTTAACTAAAAGAGAAAACAAAAGTGTTATTCATAAGAACAAGTTGCAAAGTGTCTCCTGGGGCCCATGGTCTTTCTCTCAAAAGCCAAGTAAAGTGACAGAGCTTCACACCCAATCCTCTGACTTGGTCTTGAGGACTAGGAGAGGCCAAGGAACAAATCAGCAGTGCTTTCCTCTGGCAGCAGTGTTTCCAATCCCTTTCCAGTGCTCTTTCTCAAAGAGCTTATTGGCCATGGAAGAAACCTGTGAAGGCTTTGCTCTCCTGGTGGCAACATCAAAGCCCGACTTCTTTACATTGCCACTGCCGTCTCTGCCTGAACTGCTGTAACACCTCACTGGCTTCCCTGCTAATACTTCATTTCCCCACCCATAGAATTTGTTCTCCATAGAGTTGGAAGTTCTTTTAAAAGAAGAAAATTAGGTCCCATTTTGGCCTTGTTTAAAATCTTCCAAATTCACTTGGAAGAAAATATAAGTCTTCATCACCACCTCGAAGGGCCTGCATGATCCAGCCTCTCCCCATCTCCCATTCTTCCCTTCCACATATCCCACTTACCGGGTATCTGCCTCAAACCAACGTTGAGCCCACTCAGTACCTTTGCATCTGTCTGGTTTTTTAACCCATGTGCTAGGAATGACGTGCCCCCCAATCCCAGGGGTCCTCTTCTTTACGTTTTTAGCTGACATATTAACTCTGCTGAAAGACCTTGCCCACCTGCTTATCTGGAAGTTTCCTTTCTTCACTTTCTACCATCTAACCTGTTTTGCTTCCTTCAGCTTGTAGCATTTTGAAATTCTGTGTTTCTGAGTTCACTGTCAAATTGCAGAGTTTCACTGTCCAAGGTCATCCCTACCCACACTCATTACTTACGGTACATCTACAACGTGGTTAATGCAACCAAGGAACTTAATTGAAATGTGCTGGTAGTGTAACACACTGTATGTGGATTTTAAGTCTTAGTATAAAAAAGAATGTAAAATATGGCAGAATTAAGGCTTCAAAGTAGTGACTATGTGTTAAAATGATACATACATATATTTTTTGAGACATCTCCTTGTAGCCTCAGCTGACCTGGAACTTGCTACATAGACCAGGCTGGTCTCAGTCTCACAGTGCTCTCTCTGCCTGCTCCTGCCTCCCAAGTGCTGGGATTAAAATGTGCCACCATGCCCAGCTTTAAAACGAAATTTTGGTTATACTGCACTCCATAAAATGCATTAGTAATTTACTTGCTTCTTTTCACTTTTTAAATGTGACTACTAGGGGCTGGAGAGATGGCTTAGTGATTAAGAACATTTGCTATTCTTCCAGAGGTTCTGGGTTCGATTCCCAGCACCCACATGACATGTAACTCCAGTTCCAGGATCTGACATTCTCTTCTAGCCTCTGTAGGCTTTGCGTGCACGTGGTGCACTTACATACATTCAGGCAAAACACTCATACACATAAAATAAAAATAATAAAATATTTTAAATGAGACGCCCAGAGAACTAACAATGGCCTCCGTGGCTTACACTGACAACGGTGCTCTAAGAAAGCGGGGAACTTAACATCCAAACTTCTGTAAACTTCTCTGGTCCCTACAGCCATAATGGTTGGCACTAAGGAAAACACGGAGAGCAAAGGCATAGCTTAAATTTCCATACTCCGAAACATCCCCAGACTCACCTTTCAGTCCATGTTTGAGGCAGTGCTCCATCACTACAAAGAACTGCTGCAAGGGGGCATAGTCCGCGTCCAGGCTGCGGCCCAGGCTGAGCGCAGACTGGAGCAAGACCTTGATGCTGAGTTTCATCATGTGCATCAGGTTGGCACGCTCCTCCATCATCTGGCCCTTGGATGCTGTGGGGCACAAGCAGGGACAGCTTCGTTAGTGCACTGAATGTGGTTTGGAGGTGACGGGGTTAGACGCCGGGCAGTAGAGGGAAGACTGGGAAGGCAGAGGGCCAGGGGTTGGCTCAGGGTGCGGACACGCTGGCGGGAAGACAACCGGGGTTCGCAGTCAGCTGACCATCCATCTCGGGAGCCCACAGCCCGCTCCACCTGGGACTCGCCACCAGCTCAGGCTCTGGGACCTCGCCCAGGCCCGTCTGCTTGTTGCTAGGGCAACGGCCCTACCAACACTCACCACGATTGGTCTCTTCCTCTACCAATGAAAAGAGTCCTTGCCCCAAGCTAGGGGGCGGGCTAGGGGCGCGAATCGCCCCACCCCTAACCATTCCTATTGGACGAATCCAACTCAAAGCCGTGCCCACAGAGTGCAGGAACACCTTTTTTTGTGCTCTTTTTTTGTGGACCAGGTCCCCAGGTCGGAACTTCGGAACTCCAGTCGGCTCACACGGTTCTGCTTCCTGGTCCCAGCCTGCGAGCTGGCAGGAAAGCATCCTCCCTTCCTTCCCAGACTCAGTTCTGATGTCGCCCATCTTTGTTTCATCCATGACTTGTGGGCAATTCTGGGTTTTGTACACACTTGAAAAGGTTCGCCAGAAATAACTGCTACATTTCCATTTTAACGCCATTAATCTTGTCGCTTTGGTTTGAGTCTGTCTACAATTAGGATCAGAAACCTAAAGCAAGTGCTTACCTAATAAATGTTCTCTCAAGCCCAGGAAAATGACATCCTAGAATAAAAAATTTTAGACCCCGGGGCTGGAGAGATGGCTCAACAGTTAAGAACACTGGTGGTTCTTGCAGAAGACCCGGGTTCGAATCCCAGCACCGACATGGCAGCTAACTCCATAACTCCGTAACTCCAGTCCCAGGGGATCCGACAGCCTCTTCTGACCTCCGCGGGCATTGCACGACACTTACCTACATGCAGGCAATACACACATACACATAAAAAATTTTTTTCAGACCCCCCCAAAGAGCCCTGGGAGGAAAACTAGCCTCAGGGCGAAGGGGGCTCCCAGGGAGGTGTGCGCTTGCCCACGCCACCCTTCAGACTTGTTTGGAGCCGGACATCACGTTTTCTTCCCACGTACTTTTCATAGTTTACTGTCCCCCAGTAGTTTTTCTGTGAACTACTTAGTAGTTCAGTCTTAAATTTTTGTGTTGAGTTGTTTACCATTGTTGATCTGTAAATTCAGGACATGAGCACTGATATGGACATAGGATTAAAACAGCTTATATATGTGTATACATACATACACAGACACCTGTGTGTATATGTATGTAAATATACACACACCATTTATACATATACAGAAACTAAACTATAGTTAAATCTAAGACCAATATAACTCTGAATTTGTAATAAAGGTTCTTAAGATTGTAACACTGTAAGGCTAAAAATCCTAAATTTTCTCAGCAAAACCCAAGAAGACAGGGAGAGCTGCTGGGACGGTCTCCAAACATTTCATCTTGGTTGTGAGTAGGAAAAAGTGAGTTAAGTAAAGCATCTGGATAGAGGTGGTAAGATTAAGATTATAAAGAAATACACTGGAAAAGAAAATCAAAATTGTAAACTTAAGGGGAAAAAAAGAAGGGGGGGAACATCTTCAACAAAGAAAACTCCATGAATATACCATAACCACAGAGAATTTGTAAAGATTATCTTCTTAAAAAAATATTTTATTATGAGCCAGGCATGGTGGCATAAACCTTTAATCCTAGCCCTTGGCAGGCAGACCTCTGTGAGCCTGGTCTATAAAGCAGTTCCTGGCCAGCTGGGGGGCTACAGAGAGACCCTCTCTCAAAAAGACCAAAAAAATTATTTTTATTATTTTTATTTTTTGTGTATGAGTGTATTGCTTGCATGTTTGTAAGTGCACCTGTGTCATGCAATGCCCTCACAAGTCAGAAGAGGGCATCAGATTCCCTTGGAACTGGAGTTACAGATGGTTGTTGGCCACCATGTGGGTGCTGGGACTTGAACCCAGGTCTTCTACAAGAGCATCCAGTGCGTTTAACCTTGCTGAGCCATCTCTCCAGCCCAGATTATCTTTGAATAATCCCCCACACCCAGTTCTGTAAAGCAGATGAGAGTATAAACTGCCTAAGTCTTGCCAAGGACTGGGCATGCCCAGATCTCTTAAGATCTTCAGTTTTCAAAGGCACTCTTCTCTTTATTAAAAAAAGACAAGTAATCCCTTACCCCATATCTTTTCTTCATGCAGTGACTTCGGAGGCAAAAAAAAGTCTTTTGACAAAAAATATTGTATTGACAAAAGGGTAAAGAAATGACGTTTAGATATTTTCAATCAATTTGAGTTTTCTAGCTTAAAAAAGGTACATAAATGGAAGATTAACAGGTATAATTGTCATTTGGTAAGTTTTGGTGAAATATTTTTTTTGTATATTCCCAGAAGTTGAGACATTTCTTTATTATGCCCAGACTGCACATTTTTCCAAATCAGATGATTTTCAACTATTTACTTTAAATAAAAACAAAAGAACAACAACAAAAAAGTGACATTAGAGCAATGTGATGTGGTCTAACTTGGAAGGTGCTCAAGAGGAGCAGCATTATTATAATGAAACTATTTCTGATATTTATGTGAAGCAGGTGTCTCATGGATCACAGCTATAAAAAACAAAATTAAGACAAAAATTGATGCCAAATTCTATTGCATCTTAGCCATAAATCGTATATATTTATCTACAGATACATGCAACGATGAAAACTGATACCATTTGGCTCATTAAGGGATGTAATTTGGGCTGGCAAGATGGCTCTGTGGATAAAGATGCTTGCTGCCAAGCCTGAAGGCCTGATCCACGGGACCCACATGGAAAGAGAAAACCAACTCAAGCAAATTGTCAACAAGTTGTTCTAATTTTATATGGGCACCATATGTGCCCACAATCATGCACACACACAAAATAAAAGTGTAATTCAAGACAAGTCACTTATGTATAATAATTATGTATAAAAATTACACTTATGAGCCGGGCGTGGTGGCGCATGCCTTTAATCCCAGCACTCGGGAGGCAGAGGCAGGCAGATCTCTGTGAGTTTAAGGCCAGCCTGGTCTACATAGTGAATTCCAGGACAGCTGGGGCTACAGGGAGACCCTGTCTCAAAAAGACCGAAAAAAAAGAAAAAGAAAAATTACACTTATGGGGGGGCTGGAGAGATGGCTTAGTGGTTAAGAGCACTGGCTGCTCTTGCAGAGGATCTGGGCTTGGTTCCCAGCACCCACATGGGGGCTAACCATCCTTAACTCCAGTTCCAGCTGCTTCCATGGGCATTGCACACAGGTGGTGCACTTGCACACATGCAGGCAAAACACTCATATATATAAAATTAAAGTAATAAAATTTAAAGCTATACTCATGAAACTTTTATTAACATAGCATTACTAAAAATTCCCATGGTAATTCATTCCAGAAAAACTTTTTATACACTTAGAGCTTTAATCACAAGAAAGATTCTATTTTAACTTATTTACATATTTTTTGCGTATATTTATGACAGGATGCTTAGTAACATTGCTTACAACATAAAAATCTATTACATTATAGGGGCTGGAGAGATGGTGCTCAGCAGTTAACAGCACTGGCTGTTCTTACAGAAGATCAGGGTTTGAATCCCAGCATTCACCAGGTGGCCAACAATCACCCATAACTCCAGTTCTAGGGGCTCTGATGCCCTCTTTTGTCCTCCACAGGCATTTATGCACATTTATGCACTAATACACATCAAATAAAAGTAAATTTGCTGGGCATGGTGGCATGTGCCTTTAATCCCACCACTTGGAGGCAGAGGCAGGTAGATCTCTAAGATTGAGGCCAGCTTGGTCTACATATCGAATTTCAGGCCAGCTGATACTACAGGGAGACCCTGTCTTAATAAGATAAAAATTAATTAATTAATTAAAAAAACCTCCTTTGTTTGTTTTTGGTCTTTTCAACAGGGTCTCCCTGTAGCCCCAGCTGGCCTGGAACTCCCTAAGTAGACCAGGTTTATCTTGAACTCACAGAGACGTGCAGAACCATGCCTGGCTTAAAAAATCCTTTAAAAAAAATCTATCATGGAAGGGCATGGTGGCGCACACCTTTAATCCCAGCACTCAGGAGGCAGAGGCAGGCAGATCTCTGTGAGTTCAAGGCCAGTCTGGTCTACATAGTGAGTCCCAGACCAGCTGGGCCTATAGGGAGACCCTGTCTTAAAAAGACCAAAAAGAAAAAGAAAAAGAAAAAAAAATCTATTACATTAGTATGAGAATCTGTGGTGGAAGAAGTGGAAAGTCTAGTTCAAGGGATGAAAGTGGAAATGTAAAATCTTTAAGTATTACATAATTTGCTATTTATTCTCAAGATGGATGGCACTTAACAAATCATTTAAGGTATTTACATATTAGTTGACTCACTTAAAAGAACCACATAATGGGAGGCAGAGGCAGGTGGATCTCTGTGAGTTCAAGGCCAGCCTGGTCTACATAGTGAGTTCCCTGGTCTACATAGTGAGTTCTAGGACAGCTGGGGCTGCAGGGAGACCCTGTCTCAAAAAGACCGAAAGAAAAAAAAAAAAAGAACCACATAACAAATTTATGATTAAAAGTATTTGGGCCAGTGAGATGGTTCATTGTATTAAAGTACTTGCTGATAACACTTACATCCTCTGAGATCCCTGGAACCCATGTGGTAGGAGAGAATCAACTCTCAAAAGTTGTCCTTTGAGGGTTCATTGTATTAAAGTGCTTGCTGATAACACTTACATCCTCTGAGATCCCTGGAACCCATGTGGTAGGAGAGAATCAACTCTCAAAAGTTGTCCTTTGAGGGTTCATTGTATTAAAGTGCTTGCTGATAACACTTACATCATCTGAGATCCCTGGAACCCATGTGGTAGGAGAGAATCAATCTCTGAGGGTTGGAGAAATGGCTCAACAGTTAAG